ATGGATGCAATCTGGAGATTCCCTGAAAAGTACATGTTCTTTAATTAAACTCACAGAACATAGATAAAATTATCACTCTTTATAGTTTTAGTGACATTTGGGTCTGCATAGTACAGTTGTTTAGCTATGTTTTTAAAACATGGTGATGAGCATGTGATGAGCATGGAACAAACACAAGTTTATTGAAATAACCTGTAGGTTATCTGCATATAATTCTGATAAGCTAAAAAATGTTTACAACTAAAATAAGATTAATTTTAATATAATAACTATTTTAAAAATTAGAATTATAGAAGAAGCAATATAGCAGCAATGGAATGGAAAATCATTTCAGAAATTAAGTAACATCATATATACAATTGTTTATTAACAATTTCACTTTACAATACACAGATTTATAGAACAAATTGATACATGATATTTTCACTAATTGTTGTATCAATCTAATTATCAGTGTATGTATATTTATTACTATTATTATCTGGTTTGTTTATAGCCTTTTTTTCTCAATATAAATAGATCATAAATATTTTTATTAACCATTATAAAAAGTACACATTTGATCTTGATAAAAAATTAGATGACTCTCTCTCAAATTCATGTTGAGATAGAATAAATGTATCAATAACAAAACTGATCTGTACATTCAGCATAAAAGTCACAAAATGAATATTTTCTGAATAATACCAAAGACAGATTTTCTATATCTTTATTTCCTTTGATATACAGGTAATGTTTATTAACAAACCATTAAAACTTAATTCTGATAATACATTTTTCATGGATTAAATAGTCTTGTCTTAATAGATTTCATATGAATTTTATAAAACTGATAACTTAATTTTAAATAAGCATTAATAAAAATGGAAAAAGATGACATTATAATAATAAAGGTAAAATATTAATTTTGTTCAAATTTTTAATATTTTATCCATTTATATGGGTATAATATCTAATCAATCTGATAATATACTTATAATCTTCAGTATCTTTTCTATTGATAGGCTGTCCTTTCTCATCTCAATTTTAATCTTCTTAACATAAATTATTTTTGAAGTGTTTTTAACATTAAATTAAAACTTATCTATCATTTAAAATTTATAAATAAAATAATTTTTCTCATAGCGGCAGAAAATGAAGATAAGTTTTAANCAAAAACATCGGTTAACCAAAAGCATTCCAGTCAGACTGTCGTGCTGAATCGAACGTTTTTGATACTAGATTAACTTCTAAAGTATAATTTTTTTTGTTTTTATATATTTCAATATATTTATTTTGTTTGTACAAAATAAAGAAATAATTTTTAATGATACAATAGCCACAATTATTATTATAAAAATTTTCGTTAGGCTTAACATTGACGAAAATTCAACGTGAAGCGACAAGCAACAGAGAAAAATTTAAACATGGGATATATTAATATACTATTATTGGGATATACTAATATATTATATTAATAATGTATTTTTTTGTACATAATCGATTTTCCAAACAACCCCAGTCTCCAATTGATTCAGATAATCGATGCTCTACTGTATATAAATAGATTTCAAATTTATTGAATCTAATTAATTAGTCCAAAACTAAGCAAGTGCTGTTTAGGACTCAGTGAAGCCATTCATTTTTCAAGAGATGTATTAGCACATTTGAAGATATTTGCCTTTTTTTAAAAATACTACAGAATCTCTGTCTAATCTGTTTCTTTGTGCCTCTTCTTATTTAAATACACTTTCATAATTTTGTAGTATCTCATTGCATCATGTCTCATTACTTTAATCTAAGGTTACAGAAACAAAACTACTACTATTTTAGAGTGAATATTTTAATGATGTTGAATATGTTTGAAGTAAAATATTTTTTTCAAATTTATTGCAAGTCTTCATTCATTTAATGCAAGTGATCTTCAAAAAAATGCAAATATTTGTTTAATACAATGAAAAACTTGATTTTTATTATATAAAACAAATATTTTACACCATAAAATAGTTCTACAGATTTATAAAAAATCTCTTAAAAGTTTTTTATTTCTTAAATCTGTTATTTAATAATAATGAAAATATGATTTACTCTCAATCTTGAATTTAGCAAGTTTTATCTGCAATCATTTCAAATATTTAAATAGAATTACAATTCTATTTAAATATTTATACAGTGCTAAGCATCATTTAAATTGACTAATATTTAATTTCTTCAGTTCTGAATATTAATCAGAATCATATTGCTATATTTTTAAAGTTAAAGTTTTGTGAAAATATATTTGTTAAAACAATAGATATTATATTAATAAATCTACTTATTTCATAACACATTGTAAAGTCAAATGTTTCAAATAAACATAAATAATTTTTATGTTGTATTTTTATTTTCTAATTTAAAAATAAGGATACCAAACATTTTCTCTCAGAAAAGTAAAATGAAGAAAACTTTTTCTTCTTTAAGTAGCATATGAATTTAAAAACATATGAAATGATTTATGCAAAAAGCCAAATAAGATGGTTTATTTTCTTTCTTTACAGATTTCAATGACTATTGTCAAAGTTTATTTAATTATTTTAATCATCCATTGAAAAAATTTAAAACTTTGTTTTGAAGATAATATAATATAAAAAAATAAAAACATTATTTATTTTCTTTACAGTTATTAAAAAATTCTTTAGCAAAACATCTGTTAATCATGGACATATTTTGTTTGTTTCAACTTCAGTGATATCAGAGAGAGTAGCTATATCAATATTCCAATTAAACAATAACCATAAGCATAATCACATTAATATAGAAAGTCTGAATAGATCAGAAAATTCTGAACACTTCTCAATTTATTTTCCTGTTCACTTTATGTTCACTTCTTTGAATATTTCTTTCTATAGTTTGCTTTTGGTTCTATTTTTCTCTACAGAAAATTCTTAGTATGGTTTTAATTTAACTGTTCATAAACTAAAACCTCATATTTGCTCATATATTATAAAAAAAACTTTAGTATAAAACTGACAGATAACTAATAACTGCAAAATAATTGGTTACATTATTAAAGGAAATCCTCATTAGCTCAAAATTCAGGGGACAAAATATTTGCAACTTTGAATTATCCAAGATTTTCATATTTCTATATAATATGCCAAATGCCATGTTTATTAAGGAAATGGAATATGGCTACTTATACAGAATGCTATTTTTGTTAATTAATAATAATAATAATATAAATAAACTGCAGATAAACAACACATCTGATGCAGTCATGTTGCCAGATAGGTTTATAAAAGTAAAGCAGAATTCCTCAAAATGTAGCCCAAATTATTTTTAAAGTGGCCCAAAATGTAGTAAGTCACCAAAAATTAGTAGTAGCCTAGAGCAGTGGTCATAAACCTTTCTTACCTCATGAACCTAAATCGAAATTTTGAGTCATAGACCACTATCATAAACTTTTTTACACAATACAAAAACATCTATAAAATAACAATCATTAAAGTTGCATTTCATCTGAATCTTCACAAAGCTGGTTATAAACAATTAAATAACTCCACAAAAACTTCAAAAGCACCAATACTAATATATTTAAAACAAAATATGTTGAGACAAACGTTTTTGATCCAATTAGGATCTGCTTCAGGTCATTAATGTTCAAAAGAATTAGACTGCAGGACATTTGAATTTAAATTTTAAAATTGTTGGAACAATAAAGCCTTATAACACATATACAGAAAAAAATCACATCTAGATGTTAACATTAACGTAAAAACTAAAATAAAAATTAACACAAAAATTAACAAATAATTTTTAAATCATATGTGAATTAATTGATTTCCTATTTTTTTAAATTTTGCTGAGATCATTGTAAAAGGATTGCCAAGCATGCAAGATATTCGCCTCCTCCTTAAAATTGATGCATTCCCCCCTTTAGTTTGGCTTTAAAAATTTCCAGAGCCTCTAAAGTTTTGATTTGATCCGTGCAAAGAGAGTGTCTAATGAGACTGTCTTGCTGTAGTTTAGCTTCTATGTCTGTTTCAGAAGCATATATTGCTAAGGCAGTGGCCTGTTTTTTGTGTTGTATATCATATCTATGTTTCACCAGCCGTTGTGATTTTTGCTGTATATGTGTTATAAGGCTTTACCATTCCAGCGATTTTAAAATATTTAAATTTGAACATCCTGCATCCTAATTCTTTCAAACATTAATGACCTGAAGCAGATCCTAACCGAATCGAAAATGTTTCTCAACATATTTTGTTTTAAATATATTATTGTGCTGATGCTTTTGAAGGTTTTGTGGAGTTATTTAGTTGCATTTTATTTTATTAATATGAAATTCACTTATTTAATTATAACAAATTAGTGTGAAGTTGCTGCTTGTTTGAAATAAGTCTATGGATTCCATGAAGGATGATAACTGCACTCAAATTATTTATTGACTTATTGACAACATTGTTTATTGATAACAGTCATTTCATGTTTGGTTTTAAATCTGAATAAAAAACTCCAAACAGATAAGAAAAAAGAAATCAAGCATTTTGCATTTCTTTCATAATACTTTGCATAATCTTGAGTTGATCAATGTCCAAATTTCTCCACAAACCACATTACAAATATCTGAATCTGCTACTTGCAATCCAAAAATCCAGCTGTATTTTATGAATAGAAAAAAGGGTAGTTCATATATAAGGTGAACCCAAAAATGTGTTACTGTAAAAGCAAAGCCATATTGACCAGATCAGAGTTGTTCTTGGCCTATAGCATAGAGTTATTTCAGTCTAAATAAATTAGTGAATGTACACATTGACAGTTCGGTCAGAATAGTCACTTCAAATTATGAAGTAGCCATATTTTGAATTAATTGAATTCCTTACCATGTAAATCTCTATATCCCTGGCCAAGACAAAAGTACAGTTATGAAGTAACAGGTTTTCAAACTATCCAAGTTTGAATTAACAAGGATTTCCTGTATTTAATTATCTGAAGTATTTCTAGTTTAAAAAACTTTCAAAATTAATATACATATATCTTACCTATATTTTTCAAGTTTTTTCATCATTTTAATTATCTTCTTATCTTTCTTGTGTTTAAAACTACATATAAATATCAAATTTTTAATTTTTAAATGATAAAATTTATAAATGATAGTTTAATTATTAAAATTCATAATTTCATAAACTTAATAATCTAACTAAATCCAATTTGATTTCTTGAACTTTGATCTTTTAAATTACAAAATGGTGTCAAGTTTCACTTATCTTCAAAATCACTATTTCCACTTAAAATATGAAGATTGTTTAACTTCTGCTTAAAAATTTACTTCAAATACTAATATACCTTTTAATTTTACTACAGTAGAACCTCGATTATCCGGACTAATATCAGAATCATATTGCTATATTTTTAAAGTTAAAGTTTTGTGAAAATATATTTGTTAAAACAATAGATATTATATTAATAAATCTACTTATTTCATAACACATTGTAAAGTCAAATGTTTCCAATAAACATAAATAATTTTTATGTTGTATTTTTATTTTCTAATTTAAAAATAAGGATACCAAACATTTTCTCTCAGAAAAGTAAAATGAAGAAAACTTTTTCTTCTTTAAGTAGCATATGAATTTAAAAACATATGAAATGATTTATGCAAAAAGCCAAATAAGATGGTTTATTTTCTTTCTTTACAGATTTCAATGACTATTGTCAAAGTTTATTTAATTATTTTAATCATCCATTGAAAAAATTTAAAACTTTGTTTTGAAGATAATATAATATAAAAAAATAAAAACATTATTTATTTTCTTTACAGTTATTAAAAAATTCTTTAGCAAAACATCTGTTAATCATGGACATATTTTGTTTGTTTCAACTTCAGTGATATCAGAGAGAGTAGCTATATCAATATTCCAATTAAACAATAACCATAAGCATAATCACATTAATATAGAAAGTCTGAATAGATCAGAAAATTCTGAACACTTCTCAATTTATTTTCCTGTTCACTTTATGTTCACTTCTTTGAATATTTCTTTCTATAGTTTGCTTTTGGTTCTATTTTTCTCTACAGAAAATTCTTAGTATGGTTTTAATTTAACTGTTCATAAACTAAAACCTCATATTTGCTCATATATTATAAAAAAAACTTTAGTATAAAACTGACAGATAACTAATAACTGCAAAATAATTGGTTACATTATTAAAGGAAATCCTCATTAGCTCAAAATTCAGGGGACAAAATATTTGCAACTTTGAATTATCCAAGATTTTCATATTTCTATATAATATGCCAAATGCCATGTTTATTAAGGAAATGGAATATGGCTACTTATACAGAATGCTATTTTTGTTAATTAATAATAATAATAATATAAATAAACTGCAGATAAACAGCACATCTGATGCAGTCATGTTGCCAGATAGGTTTATAAAAGTAAAGCAGAATTCCTCAAAATGTAGCCCAAATTATTTTTAAAGTGGCCCAAAATGTAGTAAGTCACCAAAAATTAGTAGTAGCCTAGAGCAGTGGTCATAAACCTTTCTTACCTCATGAACCTAAATCGAAATTTTGAGTCATAGACCACTATCATAAACTTTTTTACACAATACAAAAACATCTATAAAATAACAATCATTAAAGTTGCATTTCATCTGAATCTTCACAAAGCTGGTTATAAACAATTAAATAACTCCACAAAAACTTCAAAAGCACCAATACTAATATATTTAAAACAAAATATGTTGAGACAAACGTTTTTGATCCAATTAGGATCTGCTTCAGGTCATTAATGTTCAAAAGAATTAGACTGCAGGACATTTGAATTTAAATTTTAAAATTGTTGGAACAATAAAGCCTTATAACACATATACAGAAAAAAATCACATCTAGATGTTAACATTAACGTAAAAACTAAAATAAAAATTAACACAAAAATTAACAAATAATTTTTAAATCATATGTGAATTAATTGATTTCCTATTTTTTTTAATTTTGCTGAGATCATTGTAAAAGGATTGCCAAGCATGCAAGATATTCGCCTCCTCCTTAAAATTGATGCATTCCCCCCTTTAGTTTGGCTTTAAAAATTTCCAGAGCCTCTAAAGTTTTGATTTGATCCGTGCAAAGAGAGTGTCTAATGAGACTGTCTTGCTGTAGTTTAGCTTCTATGTCTGTTTCAGAAGCATATATTGCTAAGGCAGTGGCCTGTTTTTTGTGTTGTATATCATATCTATGTTTCACCAGCCGTTGTGATTTTTGCTGTATATGTGTTATAAGGCTTTACCATTCCAGCGATTTTAAAATATTTAAATTCGAACATCCTGCATCCTAATTCTTTCAAACATTAATGACCTGAAGCAGATCCTAACTGAATCGAAAATGTTTCTCAACATATTTTGTTTTAAATATATTATTGTGCTGATGCTTTTGAAGGTTTTGTGGAGTTATTTAGTTGCATTTTATTTTATTAATATGAAATTCACTTATTTAATTATAACAAATTAGTGTGAAGTTGCTGCTTGTTTGAAATAAGTCTATGGATTCCATGAAGGATGATAACTGCACTCAAATTATTTATTGACTTATTGACAATATTGTTTATTGATAACAGTCATTTCATGTTTGGTTTTAAATCTGAATAAAAAACTCCAAACAGATAAGAAAAAAGAAATCAAGCATTTTGCATTTCTTTCATAATACTTTGCATAATCTTGAGTTGATCAATGTCCAAATTTCTCCACAAACCACATTACAAATATCTGAATCTGCTACTTGCAATCCAAAAATCCAGCTGTATTTTATGAATAGAAAAAAGGGTAGTTCATATATAAGGTGAACCCAAAAATGTGTTACTGTAAAAGCAAAGCCATATTGACCAGATCAGAGTTGTTCTTGGCCTATAGCATAGAGTTATTTCAGTCTAAATAAATTAGTGAATGTACACATTGACAGTTCGGTCAGAATAGTCACTTCAAATTATGAAGTAGCCATATTTTGAATTAATTGAATTCCTTACCATGTAAATCTCTATATCCCTGGCCAAGACAAAAGTACAGTTATGAAGTAACAGGTTTTCAAACTATCCAAGTTTGAATTAACAAGGATTTCCTGTATTTAATTATCTGAAGTATTTCTAGTTTAAAAAACTTTCAAAATTAATAACATATATCTTACCTATATTTTTCAAGTTTTTTCATCATTTTAATTATCTTCTTATCTTTCTTGTGTTTAAAACTACATATAAATATCAAATTTTTAATTTTTAAATGATAAAATTTATAAATGATAGTTTAATTATTAAAATTCATAATTTCATAAACTTAATAATCTAACTAAATCCAATTTGATTTCTTGAACTTTGATCTTTTAAATTACAAAATGGTGTCAAGTTTCACTTATCTTCAAAATCACTATTTCCACTTAAAATATGAAGATTGTTTAACTTCTGCTTAAAAATTTACTTCAAATACTAATATACCTTTTAATTTTACTATTTAACATAGTTCTCTTGAATAATAATAAACAATAAAATGAAGAACTATGTTAGTTACCACTAAAATATGCTTGCTAAAATAATATACTACTGTAGATAAACAGTAAAATCTGAGTTCTATTTTTCAGTCAAAACATGATAGTATACCATACTAGAAGATGCCGTACTAGAAGAAGTATCAATAGCCAACACTGTAATATACAGTAGTCACCAGTGAACTTAAACCAGGCTGCAGTTAACATGCCATTCAATAGATAGGTTTAAAAAAAGTAACTTTGATTCATTACATGAATGTTTTACATAATTTAAAACAAATATACAGTAATTAATCTTTATTTTTGCTAAATATCAACTTGATATCTTGCAAGTTTAACAAAATTGAGCCAGTCAAACTTGAGTCACAGAAATCAAAAAACATAGATTGCTGCATCACTTCAGTCAATGAACATAGACCAGCCGATAATTTGCATTTAAATACTGTTACAATTGCTGTATTTCTGAAACAACTAATTATTTTAGCCTAACTTTAGCATGCAGTGATCCTGTGAATGATATAAGATGTTTTTTAGTTTTATTTACATTTACTTTGCATTTTGTCTACATTTGACAGAGGAAAAGCTGTTTCAGAAGATTTAAGGAACGCTATTATTGCTAAACACAGTTGTGGCATATTTGAAAGAGCTATTAGAAAAGAGCCAATGCTAAGCAAGAGAACAGTGCACCAGTTTATTGTTCATTATACTAACCATAGCCATGTTATCCCCAACAAAGCTGCTGGACATCAATGAAAAACTTGAAAAGTTAATGATAGGAGTTTGAAAAAAACTCATAAAAAACAACCACTGTGCCACAGCATTGGATGTAACTATAATATGAAATGATACAACTGAAAATAATGTATCTGTTTCAACAACATGCAAGAGACTGCAAGAAATGCATTTCCAGTTCTACGCAGCACATGAAAAATCTTTGCTAACAGCACATCAAAAGAAGAATGTTCTTTGGTCCACTGTACAAATGTACAGTGGGCTAAAGAACATCTTTCCTAGTCTCAACAAAAGAGGCATGAAATTCTGGGGTCTAATGAATCAAAATTTGAATTATCAGAAACAGATAAAAGCAAACATGTCATTTGATGTGACAATGAAGCTAATGATCCAGTATCATTAAAATGCTCAGTGAAGTTTCCTGCCAGCGTCATGATTTGGGGTATATGAGCACCAGTGGTATGGGTCAGTTGACATTTGTTGATGGAGCACTTGCTTCAGAACAATACATTAACATTCTACAACAGTTTTAATTCTGTCCATAGCAAAGCTATATCCAAATAGAACCTGCATTTTCCAGCAGAATGGGCCACAGGTCATACAAGTAGAAAAACAAAACACTGGCTTGCAGAAAAGAACATAGAAGTTCTTCCTTGGCATCCAACAGCCCAGATCTTTCACCAATTGAGAATGTACAAAACATTATGAAGAGACATATGTGAAAAACGTGCCCTCAAACAGTTGAAGGACTAAAAGCTTCCATCTTAACTATCTGGAATTCCATAACTGCAGATGAATGTGAACATCTAGTCAACAGCATGCCTAAATGTATGG